ATTCAAAAAAGAATAACTCCAGTATCTGCTTAACATATGTGTATACATGCACAAGCCTATTCTTAACCAAATAGGCAAAAATACTCATGTCAATTACAATCCACGTTTTTGCAACCGGTCACGTGGCCTAAATTGGTATTTGTAACTACCTTCCTCTACTACCCATTCTGTATTTCATCCACCATCAGCAAGCACCTCTGCAGGTCGTGGCTCTTTCCCTGGAGGAGTGACCCATACTTTCAACCCTGAAGGGTCTGGGCCATTTGTTGTCCTGTCTGGATTGGGTTATTGCAGTTTCCCATTGACCTTAATCACAGAACATGGTAACAACAAAAGTCGCCCTAAGGAATCTCCTGCCTTCCAGATATAATCTTCATTACCTCCATTGTGGAGAGCCAGTCCAATTTCCCCCTGGCAGTCTGGGTCAATCACTCCTCCTAATACTGTTCTTCCTTTCTTAGCCTGCTGATTTAAGGGCATCAGAAGCCCAAAGTGTCCAGAGGGAAGTCTTAACTTCCAGTTCAAAGGAATGTTTATTGTCTCTCCTGGCAGAAGCACTCCCTCCTCTGGAACCAAACCATTCAAGCCAGTAGAGTGCAAAGTCGAGGGTACAGGAAGCAAATATTTTCATAATGGGTCACCAGGGGTGATAGTGAATGGAATCATTTCCACTTCGACCCCTTGATTCCTGGACCCGTGAATCCTGGTTATAGGAAGCATTACGTGCAGGAAAGGCAAATGCATAACCAGAATAAGTGTCTCTTCCTGTAAGGACAAAACACTGTCCCCTCCAAGATGGAAGTGGTCCAATGTAGCCAACCTGCCACCAGATTGCAAGCTGATCACCACAAGGAACAGTGTCATATCGAGGGCTCAGTGTTGGTTTCTGCTCTTGGCAGATCTGGCACTCAGCAGCAGCTGTAGCCAGGTCAGCTTTCGTGAGTGGGAGTCCATGCTGTCGAGCCCATACATAACCTCCATCACTGCCACCATGGCCACTTTGTTCATGGGCCCATTGAGCAATGACAGGGATAGCTGAAGAAAGAGGCTGCCAATCCACAGAGCGGGTTATCTGATCTACTTGATTATTGAACTCATCTTCTACTGAAGCCACTTTTTGATGAGCATTTACATGAGACACAAGTATATTTACATCCTTTGCCCATTTGGAGAGATCTATCCACTCTCGGCACCAATCTCTGTCCTAGTTTGTTCTTCGCTGGTGTGAAAAAATACTCTGACCACTACCAACTTGGGGAGGAAAGGGTTTATTTAGCTTACATATCCCAGGTCACAGTTCATCCAGGAGCCCAAGGTAGGAACTCAGGGCAGGACCTGGAGGTAGGAGCTGGAGCACAGGGCATGGAGGAATGCTGCTTACTGGCTTACTCCCCTGGCCCCTGCTCAGCCTGCATTCTTATGCAACACAGGCCCACCTGCCCATGGGTGGCACTACCCACAGTGGGCTGGGCCCTCCCACAACACTCATCAAGAAGATGCCCTCAGACATGGCCACTGGCCAGTCCAATAGAGGAAATTCCCCAATGGAGGCTCCCTCATCACAGGTGTGTCAAGTTGACACTAAAGCTATCCAGCACAAGTTAGAAGAGGGATAACTCTGTCCTTGTACTTGTATAACATACCTGTATCTGCACATACCTGTATCTGCTAAAAGGGGACCAAACTAGAAGTCAACTATCTTCAATCCACCCTGTAGTTGCTACACTAATTGGAGATCCTTTATGTGGTCAGCATGTGTTTGGGTGATTTCTAGTATATTTTGTCTCATTTGATCCTGACTAACAACTTCCATCACAAAAAATTTTGTTTTATTTCCATTTTTCTGGTGAGAAAGTTAAGGCTATAAGAAGTTAAAAACTTGTCACCGTGAAGGAGCCAGTCAGGCTGTGGGAATTCCTTCACAGCCTGGGTAGGGTCAGGGAGACTGTCTGAAGAGAGTTGCGTACATCTTTCTTACATACATAGACTGCATTCAGGTGGGGACTAAGAAACTATGCATGACTTGGTCATTCTGCTAAATCTAATTGTTTTAATTATCCCAATCTGACTGAGTGATGGAGTCAGACCAAACATAATCTTTTAGGTACTATTGGGTCAGACCTCTCTAGTCAAAATGAACATCACTATTCCTCTATGCCTTGCAGCCCCAGGATCCCATAGCCAAAACGCTCTTTTCTACCCCTTTCTGCTGCCTTTTTTGCTATTTATTTGGCTGCTAACAATGTCTGGTTCTCCTCTATGGACAATAAAATCAGCAAGGCAATTCAAGCTGTCTTTTATGCAAAGGATTTATAACTGATTCCCAAAGCCAGCTGTTTCCAATCCATAATAAGGAAGTTCTTTTTGTTCCTGATTCAATGTCAAAGGAAGTTGCTAAAAGAGTGAATCTTCAAAAGAAAGGATTATCTGAAATTATTAAATATTGTGAAGCACTGCCATTTGTAATTTTTCCCTTCTCTCTACAGACTTTCAGAAAGCTTTGGTATCCTACATTGGCTTAAAGGGTCTTTACTTCACTGGGTATTTGCTGTTTGGCCTGGGGACAGGATTCATAGGACTCTTTCCAAATGTTTACTCCACCCTGGTCCTGTGTGCCTTGTTTGGTGTAATGTCCAGCACCTTGTACACTGTGCCCTTCAATCTCATTGCTGAATACCACCGTGAGGAGGAGATGAAGGTATGTTCTTACTGATTCTGTGCCCTGGTAACAAAAGGGCTTTACCTGAAGAGTAATGTGTGGTAGTAGTGGGGAGAAATTCATTAGGAGAGTGTGAATCAAGACATTGCTGAAATGGAAGCACTAAAGAAAGTACTTAATCTATTAATATCACACAGACGTGACCCCCAGTCTAGCCCAGCCCTCCCCTCCCCCTTACTCAGAACACTAGTGTACCTGCTGAGCTTTAGGACAAGAATGGCGACTCCACTAGTTAAGTGAGAAACCAGCCACTCTACACCTCTGGGACTGGGGGACCCTCACTATGGATATTTATCCAGATATACTGCAGGTAAACTGGAAAGACCTGTGGTTGGTTATAGAAGACTTGGGTCCCCCTTCCATAGACAATGCATAGTGATATTTCTTGGGTTATGAGTTGGAACTGTGAATTGGTCTTCACCATGATTCCTGGTGAGGTGGCACCCACCTATGGCATGGAAGTCAGACTGGAGAGCAGAACCTTAAGCAGTCTTCATGAGAGGACCATTTCTCTTCTAGAATGATCACCTCTTCTTATCAAAATGTGCAATAGTTTCTCTATGCAAACAGACTTACAGTTCCTTACCTGGGGTAATGATGTAAAAACTAAAGTGGTAACTATGAGTTTAATCAATCTCAGTCAAAACACTGAGCACATGTCAGTGTGGCTGTAATCCCAGCCTTCTTTTGTGTCACTTGATCATGTATAGCAGGGAGAATTGCACCAGGAGTAAAGTTTTTTCAAACAAGGATTGTAAAAGTGGCCACCAGTGTAGCAGTACATATAAAGGCCAGGGGTGCTGCTAAAAAGACAGTCATCCAAGAGAACTCTCCATCTTTGGAAAGAGTGGAAGAGTTCCATCACACACACACACACACACACACACACACACACACACACACACATGCGCGTGTGTGCGCGCGCTATAGACTCAGAGAAAACTAGATTTAAATCCTACCTCCCCTCACTTAGAAGCTGTGGGACACTGGAGATGTTAACCATTTAGTTGTTAAATAGCACTCAAAATGAGTTCCTTTTTACATGAGGTTATATATTCCCATAGTTCAGTAATCACAACAAAATACAAAAGTGTTCATTGTGAACTAGCTCCCCCCATGATCTAACTGTCCACACCTCCAGCCCAGTCATGGTATGTTTCCACTCTTTCTTGTTCTTAACAAAATTGTCTTCCTAGTATTTTAAAAAGACAATCAAGCATATATGAATCTATTGTCTTATTTTCCATTTCTTTTTCAAAATATAATATGCATTTTTTCTGTACAATGTTTATTTTACCTAACAATAAAGGAAATCATCCAAATACTCAATATTCTTATCAGTCAAATGAGAATAGTGACATTCACTATATAAAGTTGAGGGAGGGGAAATAATTAAGAAAATGCATATACTGTGCTTAGCAAGTGCTTACTGATACATCAAAGGACTCAAGAAGTGATAGCTAGTGTGTCTGTTATCACAGGGATAGAGATAATAATACCTGAATGTAGGGGGCTGGTAAGAGTGAAATAAGGCACCAACTATAAAACAGCCTGGGACAAGGCCTAGGGTGTAAGAGGCAGCAGGTGACAATATAAACCAGTTCAGACCAAATAATGTCAATCAAGTGCCAATATATTAACCAAACAAGTGCATTTGAAGGGATTGCAAGGCTTTATAACTTGCTTCTCATATGCTTAAAAGCAATTTAATGACCTTTGGAAGATGTTTTAATTTTTAACACCAAGGAAGAAAAATATTTTAGTTTACTCTTCATTTATTGAGTTTTCCACAACATTTCATTTATTGACTTCATAAAAAGAGAATTCTGCGAATATTCACCACTTAATCCACGTGTTAAAGGTAGAGGCTTCGTTTGCCGTAGGAAAAGACAGCATTAGCCAGGAAAGGGGAGTTTCCTGAAGTCTCTCAATCTGGAGTTAGGAAACTATTGCCTGCTGATCAAAGACAGTCTGTTGTCTGATTTTACCCCGTTTATGAGCTAAGAATTCCTTTAAAGACTTTAAAACACTGAAAAATTTTAAAGAAAGATAATGTTTTATAGCAAGTAAAAACACGTGAAATCAAACACTGATACCCATAAAGTTACATTGGAATGCGCTTTTTGTTTATACAAGGAAGCTGCTTTCGCACTTTAAGAGCAGAGTGAGATAGTTAACAACCAAGGCCTTATGAAGCACAAAGGCATTTGTTACTTAGCTCTTCACAGAAAACGTTTGCCGACTCTTGGCCATACGTGTCAGTTCCTTTAGAACAACGGCTACTCCTGTGTTTCCCTTGCAGAGGCAGCAGGAAGCCCCCGGAGGTGAACCGAATGGCAGTGGGCGAGGAAAAGGCGTGGACTGTGCTGCCCTCACCTGCATGGTGCAGCTGGCTCAGATCCTGGTGGGAGGTGGCTTGGGCTTCCTGGTCAACACCACCGGCAGCGTTGTGGTTGTAGTGATCACAGCCTCTGTGGTGGCACTGATCGGCTGTTGCTTCGTGGCTCTCTTTGTTAGATATGTGGAGTAGAGTTATAAATTGACATTGACCCAAACCTCAGACAAGAGAAGTCCTTGGCAAGAAATCAGTCATTTCTGAGGTTCTGTAGCTCTGGAGACTTCATTCCCCTATTGAGACTGAAGCTGATGTCATCTGTCATGTTTTACCCTCAGCCAGTCCCCTGCACAGCAATCCCCATTTTCAGGCATCGTTTTTTTCTGGGCCGTGCCTGCATACATACATAGCATGGGTAAAAGCAATGGGGTCACCTGCCCACTGCGCCTTCCTCACTGCCCCTCAGTGCAAGGCTGTGAGAGGCAAGGTCTGCTTTCCACAGGGAATTTCAGGCCTTGATCATCTGAGAAGCAGATCAGTTCTGCCCATGATGCCTCTAACATACTTTTTTAAAAAAAGCATTTCTTATATAGTTGGGAAATCACATATTTCATCAAATTCAGAAATATTTAAAATATTGTTGATGTGGTTTTTTTTTTTTTTTTTTTTTTTTTTTTTTTTTTGCTCTTTTGAAGATAGGGTCTCCCTGTAGGCCCAGCTGTCCTGGATTCACTATGGAGACCATGCTGGCCTCAAACTCACAGAGATCCACCTGCCTCTGCCTTCCAAGTGCTGGGATTAAAGGAGTGGGCCATTATGCCCAGCTCTGATGATTTCTTTTTAACACATTGGTTTATTCATATTTAATTTGCTCATAATAAGTTCCTGTTAATTTATGACAGCCTTAATAAGTGTGTTTTGAGCATCTCATATTGAAATATGTTCATTCCACTGGCACGGTAAAAATTTTTCTCTTGAGTATGTACCCTTATTCCATCCTCTGGAGTCAGTCAACAGCAAAACCTCTCAGAAAGCAGTCCCTAAGTTCCTCTTGTGATGTTCTCTACCCCCAGTTAAGCAGTTTTTCTTTAGTCAGACCCTTCAATTGGCTCCACAGGAGGAATTTTCAGCAGCTTGAAGAAACCACATTGTTTAATAGGAACACCATTAACTGTGGTGCCTAGATGGTTTTGAACCTTTCTCTGGCACTCAGTGACAAACTACTTAACATCCTCAAACCACACATGCTTGTATAGGCATTTGGAGTATAATAAATTTCGTTCTTAGAGCATTGTAAAAAGCCACAACAGTGCTCCCTGTTATTGTAAAGGCTTTACCTTCGTTAATACAGCGTTGACAATGGATGACGTAGCTCATCTGAAGCCACACAACTCATGAATGGCAAAGCTGGGCTTTGAATCTAGGACTTTGGCTCTACTGCTTCCTGTGGAGACCACACATAGGCAATGTGTGTGGCACTTTGTCAGTGCTCAATGAATGTTCTGATCACCACTGGCAAGGCCCCATCACTGGTACTGTATCCTCCGGTTTGCTGCAACCTTTGTTAAGTGTCACCTGTGCAAGGCCAAATGTGCCTAACCAGTATCGAAAGGACATTTTTTCCTACATCTTTATAAGTTAAAAAATGTTAAATATTTCCTTCTCTTTTCTCATTTTAGAGTCTAGTAATGTTATCATTGCTACTGGTGAATTTCTAACTGACTAAAGTTTTTCATGTTAGAAAGAAATTTGGAGAAAAGGAAATAAGCTCCCTTTTGCCAAGCAGATATTTAGGGGATGAGGTATTGCTTTTCTTCACCCTGTACATGGTAGAATAGATGCGCACTACCAGCCCATTTGGACAGACAGCTTTAGAAGGGGAAGCATCCTTCAGTTCTTTGGAAGTCTCTTTCACTCAATTGGTGGGTGGATGAGTGGTACAAGCTCACCCCTAACACTTTCAGAGCCCAGAGCAAGAGGTCTCTCTGTTCATTAATAGAGACCCAAGGCCCATTCTCTCTTCCTCTCATTTTGTCTCTGTCTAGCACCATAATAGGCCTTGGGTACAGTGTGGTGTTAGTACATCCATGGCTACTCATACTCCTCTACCCTTTGTCACTCATTCCAACAGCCACCCGTAGCTTCCCCTTATGCCCAAGGGCACAGAGACTAAATGGTGTATGTAGCTTCTAGAAGATGAACTAGGAAAGACCCATGAAAGTTTGGCAAATAGCCTCAGGGCTTTTTGGCTGGGGAATTCTGGAGACTCAGGTAATACACTGGTGTTGTAGTGTATTCTCATTTCCTTCCATGCAAGATGGGCTTGGCTAGTGGAGCTGACTAGTGATGAAATGCAGGCATGGGCCCTGACTGCCTGGGTCTGAGGGCAGCAGTCCAGACTACCAGCCTCGGAGCACAGCTAGACATGGATCATTTTGCCATTGCGTGGCATTCCTTCCTACCTCTTCTCTTGTCATCTCAAATGGCTACTGGATCCTTGTTACTTTACACTGACCACCTCCCTCCTGCTATTGCTTAGACCTTGTTGCTGCAATTCTCCCAAAGGCCTCCTCTTTGTTTAAAGAGCTTGGTCTCTACTGCTGAGACTGGGCAGAACATCTGGAGCCCTCTTGTGGCTCTGGACACTTTTGTCATCTGTGCACGTCTTGTGGACAGCAAGTAGAGGGCAGGGGGCTTACACTAGAGCAACTGGTGCTTTCTGACAACTGTCTCCCTCATCACCTGTAGGACACACAGATTTCTTATTAGGTGTTGGGTACCCCAGGCTTCTTTCTGCATGTTGTTCCATTCTTTCCAAATCCCCAGCTTTCTAGGATTGGGTGAGCTGTTTTCTCAGACCAAGGTATGTTGCTGTTTAGCATATTAACCTCCAAACCTTGCTCTCTTTTTTTTCCCACATGGGTGCCATTTTTTGCTGCTCCTTAGTCAGGTCTTCTTTCATCCCATTAGTATATTAACTCACAAATGAAATTGTCTAGTTTTCTTAGTCTTTACCCTTCCCACCATGACCCATCTTAGAGAACTGATATTTTGATAGACTAGAAATATGATCAAGGAAACCAACTGTTCCCAGCTCCAGAGCATGAGACAGTGCTGAACAACAGCTTAGAGGTCATGTGTCAGTTCCCAGCATCATCAAAGAAGCAGCACCAACCCACCTCTCCTGTTCCTCATATTTGTCTTTACCTCTGAAAGATTTATGTGAAATCTAGAGGGTTCAGTATAATTCCAGATCATAATTCTAAGGACATTGTTTTGGGTTGTTTTTTTTTTTTTTTTTGGTATTTGAAGATTTGAAAATGAATGGATAGGCCACCTGGGACTATGGCCTATAGCTGAGGGCCATTCTACTTGGCCCCAAAGAAATTAAGCATAGTCATCACTCATCAACCACAGGGCAGGGCCTTTATTACAAGTGATCAAACATCAATGCATTGATGTTTAAAAAGAAAAGCCAATGCAACAAGAAACAAATATCACTAACTATATCCATGTACAACATCAATGTTTGCAACATCTGATAGGGAACTGAGTTGAGGTAAGGAAGGGAGCTACAGCAATCTCTCTCTCTCTCTCTCTCTCTCTCTCTCTCTCTCTCTTTCTTCTTCTTCTTCTTCTTCTTCTTCTTCTTCTTCTTCTTCTTCTTCTTCTTCTTCTTCTTCTCTCTTTTCACACTATAGAATTTTATTCAATGACAGAAAAAGGAGCAGGGTTTGGACCAGAAGGGACAGGAACTAACATCAGGACCCGAACGCAATGCATCATTTCATCCAGTGCAGCAGTAAATGGGGGGAGGATTGCTAGAAAAGTCATTCCCAAGGCACCATGGAAATGCATGCCGACCTCAGTGGAGACGTTCTTATTTCCAGATGTAATTAATGTACATTCCAAGCTGGAGTGCAAGGTCAGGTTTTAAAGAAAGCTGCCTCGGTCACGTTTCCAAGCAGGGCCGCTTTGCAGTCTGGGATGGAGGCATAATAAGCCCTGGCGGATTCATTTCTGGGCATTGCTGTGGACCGAAACCGCATGGTTGTCTACAGAACAGGTCTGTAAGAACAAGGATTTCAATGGGCTATGCCTAGGTGTGGCAGGCGGGGTGCAGTGCTGGAAACCTGCTGGGCTCGGAGTTCTGAGTGTCTTGAGGGGCAAACGGTCTGTCTGGTGTCCAGGAGGAATCCCAGGGCGCATGAGTGCCATCTCTTCGGTTCATCTTGGAGAGAGTCTGTGCCTGTAATCCCTCAGGGCTATGACCATGAGCGGGGCGGGTTTCTGCGTGTGGGCCTTTCTTGCAGTGGGAATAACAATTCTTTTTAAAGGAGGACAGGAAGTTGGAGTGCGAGGATGAATGGCAGGCACTAGGGGGAGCTGTAGAGAGATGGTGGATGGATATGATCAATATACATTGTATAAATGGATGTCTCTCTCTCTCTCTCTCTCTCTCTCTCTCTCTCTCTCTATCACTGCCCCCCAACACATACTCAAATGCAGTACACAAATTATTCATTGGCCTCAACTCCATCAAGGGCTGAATGAGTGGACAAAATCCAATTTTCAAAGCCTTTAACCACTGGAAACCCAAATATTAATTCTCTTTGGCAAATGACATTATCTCCAGCAAAAATTGTATCCTCAAACAAATGAAAGTATGGGTATCTATAATTTTAATAGAAACACATACTCAAATGCAGTACACAAATTATTCATTGGCCTCAACTCCATCAAGGGCTGAATGAGTGGACAAAATCCAATTTTCAAAGCCTTTAACCACTGGAAACCCAAATATTAATTCTCTTTGGCAAATGACATTATCTCCAGCAAAAATTGTATCCTCAAACAAATGAAAGTATGGGTATCTATAATTTTAATAGAAATCCTGGGACACTCCGAGGGAGAGATGGGAGCACCCTCTGCTTTGCTTCCTGCTTCCACTATCCATCTGTCTCCTGTCTCCCTTTGACACACCAGCATCGCTTGTCAAAATTATACCCATATTCCCTAGACCTCAAATTATACTGGTATTCCTTAGACCCACTTCAAATGCTATTTTGACCTGAAGCCTGAGCCCTCAGCAGAATCAATCTTTTCTTCCTCCATTCCTATACCTCTTTGGTTTATTTTAGCCTTGCTGTGACATTCAACTCATTGTTCTCTATATTAGTTTGCTTAGGTCCCTGGTTGTTTGTCCTAAATGTGTTAGTCAGGTCTGTGTCTGGCTCTTAACCTCACACAGCAGGTACACAGAAAGTAATTGCTTGATCAGTTCCTGGTGATTGTTCTGTCTTTGGAATTCATAATCTTTGACCCCTTTTGTGGTGGTCTCTGAAACTCTCAGCTTTGATTTGGACAAAATGATCCCTTTACAGAGACTTGCATGAAGGCCCAGCCCCAGCCCATCTCTTCTTTTTCTGTAATGCCATAGAAAAAGCACATTCTCATTTCAACACCATTTGCTAAGACATCTGAGCTATCCATAAATTATTTTACTGTCAAAATGGAAGTGACAGCAAGTGACTTTAATTGCTCAGGAAGTATCCAACATCAGTGTTGTACATGGATATTATGTTACATATTTCTTCTTATGCTGGTCTTTTCACTTATTTTACATGGTAGAGAAATAGGAGGCTTACATTTCAACCTTTGTCAGTGTAATCGCTATTCAATACCAATATCAATAATCCCAAAGGACCGAGAAAGACAAACTAACTACTTCAAAACAGAAGTAGTATTCTATTTTTGTAGACTGTCAGGATTTGCTTTGATTGTGGAAAGATGAGTGTCTGTAACTGAGTTACAGAGAGGGATTATAGGTGTCCAGATCCCATGTTTGGGGCTTTAAATTTCACACACGATGGTGAAATTCCAACAGAAATTACTGAACAATTCTATAGTTCAAGAGGCCATTTGAACAGATGTGGCTTTCTAATGGCATTTTACTGAATTGCAGTTACTACACAACAGTATGAAGTGCCTGTGTCACCTGCTACTTAACCCCAGACTAAGTGTCAAAGAGAACAGTATCATCTCTATTGATTCTGAAAGATGGCTGGGTAGACTAATATTTGATCTCAGTTCTCAGAACAGTCTCAAGAAAGGACTTTGTGAAGATCTTAAGATCTTGAACTACCTGAAGAATAGAGCTGTCATCAGAACTGAATCACTCCTCAGAGACCTCCCCATGGCTATCCTGCATGCTTAATGAACAAAACACTCAAGAGAAACTGGAGCTTGGGTAGGGTAGTCTGCTACTCAGACTCTCATCCTCTCCATCTCTCGTCAGTAATATGAACAATACAGAACCTCACTTATGAAATTCTGGTGATGCCCTCAGAACAGCTTCTCTGGTCTTCTCTTCCTTTAAGGAAAGATTTTACTTGAATCCCTTTGAAAGATCAAACTCCAACTTCCAGGAATTTGGTCTTCAGAAAGTTCTGGAAGCATTCTACAGCTTTTCTTGGTCTTCCAAGCCTACCCCAAACACTGAGCCATCCTTGTACTTTCTAGACTAGCTTCTCATCATTCCCAAAGAGTGAGGCGGAGGAGCTGCTAACCACACCCTCTCCATTCTCAGGAGAGCTTTTCCAGGTCCCCCTTAGGCTCATCTGAAGCCCCAGAACAGAGCTCCAGGAACCCAGGCTGCCCTCAAGAGAGCCTATGTGTGCAGGCTTTCAGGGTGAGACACTGCACTTGCTGCCTTCTCATCAAGTCAGCACTGAAAGTCCTCCTTTCCTTCAGGGGCTGCATCTTAACCCCCTCTAATCACACTGCTCTCTCCTGTACCTGAGGCCAGTCCCCAGAGACCCGAGTGACTTTTGAGCTCAGAGATAGGGCAGAGCCTGTGCAAGACTAGCCCTGTCCAGGAAAATAAAGGATACCAGGTCTCCACTTCTTCCCTTCCCTTCTTCCCTTCCCTTCCCTTCCCTTCCCTTCCCTTCCCTTCCCTTCCCTTCCCTTCTCTTCTTCCCTTCCCTTCCCTTCCCTTCCCTTGCCCTTTTGTTCCCCAAACTCCGAGCTCCCAAGGCAACCACACACTA